GCCTGCAGGATCGTTACATTTTCTGAAATCTCTTCTGTTCTTCCTGTTAAAGTCCTTCTTTAATATTTGCATTGAATTAGCTGAGAAAGTAATTTATAATTATTTTTTTTCCAGTTTCAAATAAACTAGGTGGCTTTTTTTTTTTTTTTTGTAATATCATGCTGTTTTCCTTCTCAGTCACAGCAATATTGATTATTGTTTATTTGTGTTTAAGTGGCACTTAAGAATCCATGCCTTGTCATGCTTGGTGTGTGTATTTGCTTTGAAGCACCAAGTACACCTTTGGCTGCGGGTTTTTTCTTTGGTTCATAAGTGTCTTTTACTTCATGAACTGCAACCGATGCAAAACCTGCCGACGTAGGTAATGTTATTTGCTCTGTGGAAGCAACCTACAGTTGCTAAATCAGTAGCAAAGCAGTTCAATGCAGCAGTGTGTGGGGAATCTTGTACAGGTGTTGTCCATATGTGTTGGGTATATGCCTGGAAATGGGAAGGGTGATGGTAAATTTTTTCATCTGTCAGTATATCACTTTTCACAAGGGCTGGAATTTTTTTGAAGGCTTAGGGGAAGGATGAATTTTGCTCAAGGTTCTTTCGTTTTATTACTGTAAGATTTATAGCATTGCCAAACCCCTTATTTGGACTGATCCCAGACCTGCCATCCCTCATCCATTTGGAGTGTGGAGCCCTCTTCCTCTATTTTTCCAGCTTTTTCTCCAAAGGTGGAAAAAAAAAATCAGCATTTGAACTATTTTTTTGAAGGGATTAGTTTGTTCAGACCTTACTTCTAAATTAGAAGGTAAGGAATGTTTTAAGGAGACTTTGAGATTTCCATAGTTTTATTCTACATCCCATGATAGGATTTTCAATTTTAGAGCACTAATATATTTCTACTTGAATTTAACCACATTGCTTCCTGCCCTGTTGAAGTCACTTTGCCTGCCTCAGTTCCCTGCTGCTGGAGTCTTAAAGCTATTACCTTTTGGCCTGGATCCACCCATCCTGACACTGAAACAAAGGCCTGACTGAAGAAAACATTCCAGGAACAGTTTATCCTTTGCTAGCTGATACAGATTCTCTAATTCAGGGTTGCTTTTTTGGCTTTTCTTTCTTTCAGCACTGTTGAGGCCAAATGTCTTCCCAGCCGTTCTGAAATTTCTCAGCAGTTCCCTTCTTACTACCCGAACAACTTTGGTAGGTGGCCGTATGGGGAGAGATGCTATCATGTGCACTGGCTCTTGAGCCCTGTACTTCAGTACCTTGTGGAGTTGACTGGCAAGATCTCTCCCAGGTCAGACGTTTTCCTGGAGTGCAGTTATTCCAGCATGCTTTATTCTGTATATGGAATCACAGAATACTGTGTTCTCTGGCATTATGGCTACTGTGCACAAAAGCAATTTTTCCTAATTTACATGTGTCTTCCAGAATGCCCTTTCTTAAAGAACAGAGAGAATCAATGCTGTTCATTCTTGTATTGTGCTTCTACCCTGCATATTTTGTTACAAGTACCTAATTAGGCGTGTTAAGTGCTAGTTCTCTGTAGCCAGTATCACTGAGCCATTTATTCCATATGTAGGAAAAACAATAGACACAACTTCATGACAATCTGATCACAGTCACCTAAGGGAAGGTACAATTTTTAACTTGTAGCAAGGTTTAAATGACTGGAGACAAAGTCCAGACAAATGATTCAGGTCTTTACAAAATGAGGCTCTGAGCTACAACGTTTCTAGGGCTGCCTTTCTCTCTCTTAGCATGGTCTGTAGCTTCAGGCACTGAATTGCAGCTTGCCCAGCCATTTGGTTCATATCCTGGTTTTCTTCTGGCTCAAAATTGTGCGTGTTTTGCTTTTTGCTGGATTCTTCTTTTGTACCTGTCTTTTGTACGCTGGCACAACAACAGACAGAGAGTCCTAAGAACAACTGCTCTAAATGCACATTCGTGTTTCTCCTACCCCTCCCCCTGGTCTCTTCTCTCTCCCTCCCTCCCCTTCCCAAATTCCATTAATATTTGCAGAACAAGAGCCAGTACTCCAGCATTAGCCTCAAATTCAGAATGAGATTTTTCTGGCTTTATCTGCAGCTAATGCAGAAGACAACAGAGGTTAGAAATGCACTTTTTAAAAAAAAAAAAAAAAGAAAAACAAAAGGCCTTTTCATATCCAACACACTGGATGAATTGTGTTAGGTATAAACAGGCCTACAAAGTCTAGAACATATGTAAGAAAATATTATATGTATTGTTGTTGAAAGGCAGAGGACCATAAAATTATTTGCTCCTTGACTAAATTAAAAGTTCCTGAGCTTTAACTTAGTTTAAACTCATTTTCACTGTTGTTTCTTCAAATTTTGTGTGGGGAGAAGAGAGTTCGTTTCTTCAACATATTGGTTCATTTACAGGATAACCAGTAAAATCAGAAAGTCAAATGAAGACATTTGCCAAACATTGGTTGCACACCAACAATGTACAAACTAAGCATTTGTAAGGAGGTATATAAACAAACTTTTACCTTCTGTCCACTAGTGAAGTTTTGCAAACATAAATTTCATAGGCAAACTGAGAAATTGGGAGGGGAGTGGAGAGAATGAAGAATTCAGATGATTTGCGTAGTTTTCTTTGACCCCAAACTAAGTAGTTTCTTTAATTTCTGTTGTTCAGTGCATAAAATGTGTTCTTAACCTTTATAAATTGACTTAAGAATAAAAAAGCCAAAATCAAAAGATAACTATTTCTATTCTTTGAAATTGATTTTATTTTAACGTTGTTTTATTTGTTGGAAAGTATTTGCCAACTTCCACTGTAGTCTGCACATGCAGTTACTCCTCTGTGACCCCTTTCCATCAGTGTTTCAAGACTTGCTTTTCCCTGGCCATGGGAAGGACGGCAAGTGTCCATTTCCAGTTTGCGTGGGGTTCTGGCTACTGGTGACCTCAGCTAGTTGCCAGCAGACAATTTTAACTATGTGAAGTAATTGGATTGTGTCCATCTTGTTGTGAGGCCAAGGGTTATTTCAGAGCACAGAAACTGATCTGCATTCTTTCAGTGTAGAAGGAGTTCATCTGCAGGTTCTGTGGAAGATGATTTGGCAAAGCATTCTAGAGGAGCTGGCTCTGCAGTATGCATGTGCTGCTCTTCTTCTATGGAACTGTGAGAACATATTTTAGCAAATGATTCCTCAATCTATTGGATACCCCCAAATATATAGTCACCGAAAAAGTTGGGTTTGTTTTTTTTTTTATTCAATGTGGATTTATTTATTCTTAAATTTCTATCCTTCCAAGAAGATATGAATACCCATCAGCCTGTCCTTTAGTCTGTAAATTTGTATTTTTTTCCTAAGAAGGTCTCTCTTATTTTATTCTCTGCTCTCTGACAGTAGAATTGGGTTATCTCACTTTTCTGATGAACCTACGTTTTCCAGATAAACGAAAACGTAGGGGTTTATTTTTCAAAACTGAAACAGTTGGATTGCCTTTTTGTTTTACTGGGATAAGCATCCGTGATGCTTTGGGGAATGGAGAATGATCTAAAATAAGCCTAGCTGGTTTTTGTTGTTTATCTGTTTCTTTTTGCATCTGTCTTACTATTTATTGCTACCATCTGCATTTCATTTCAGGTTGTCTAATGTCTTATTCTGCATGTTCTGTGCCTATTCTCTTTACATAGCCTTGGGCTGTAATATCACCATTTGCCTACAAGAGATCCATTTCTATCTGTAACAAAATGAATTGCATTCATCTGTGTAATTCATTTCTAATGAATGCCTTGCTCCTCATTAAACAGTGATTTACCTTTGTTTCCCTTTTCTACACTGTCAACACTAACCATTTTGAGGTCCTGTGGAGAGATGCTAATTTGAGAAAGCAAAAGTCAATGCAACTAAGTACTCACAAGTGCCATCCTCATTGGCACTTTCAAAAATATTAATGGGACACTTTGAAATACAGTTTGCAGGTGGATAAGAAGACTCAAAGTGTTTTCTTACTCATAAGATTTCAGTGTACGAATACACCACTTTAAATGCATTTCTCCTTGTCAGTGTCTTGAACAGGTAGCCAAGCTTGTGAATCTTTTAAGACCTTGTCTGCTCTGCTGGGATTTTACAGATCACAGGCACATTTGGGGAGACTACACTCTTGATACCCTGTCCCCTCTGCACCTTTTCAGGAATATTGAAGTATTTCAAACTTATTTTCAGAATAATGTTTTGAAATATTTAATCTTGAGATGTGTTAGAATGTTTCAGACTTCAAAGTATTTTGCTTCAATTTTTTTTTTAAGATTCAAAGATTAATTTAAGCATTCATTGGCTTTGTGTATCTAAAAAAAAAAGAATTAGTACCATTAACTAATGAAATAGGGGTTGTATAGTAGTTTCGTTACAGATTTGGTCCATACGCAACTTTTCTGTAATGCCCTTTTAACCTATCCTGCAGCATCCCCTTTTCCAGCCCTGCTCTTTGCAGAACAGCAGAATCTGCTGCATGTGCAAATAGGTCTGTACTGCTGACAGATGACGGTTAGAGTATAGGATGAATTACCAAGTTTATTTTCACTTTAAACCTAAGCAGAGTTTGAACTGCGGCAACAGATTATGAATATGAAAATACTGTTGGTAAACATAATTTAACGCAATACAGATGTTTTTTAGAAAGTTGTTTTATTTACAGCATCTTTAACTCTTATTATAGTGATAGTACAAGCTACTCATTGACACTTTTGATCACTCACATGAATTTAGTTTGGCATTTTACAATATTTATTCTTGTGTTTGGCCAGATTGATCCCTTGTTGAAACTCTAGAACTGTCAGTGGGCATCAGTTGAGTTACGCCATGGATTAATTTGATCATAGTATTATGAGGGGATTGAAGCATGGGAAGTATTTTTGTTTTTTGTTTTTTGTTTTTTTTTTTAACTGGTCTTGCCTAAGTCATGTAGTATTTGGAAGTAAGAACACTGATTAATATAACAAAATTTTATTTTTAATATACATTTTAGAGGACAAAACTGACCTTGAGAACAGTGTGATGCAGAAGAAAATTAAAATCCCCAAGCTCTCTCTCAATCACGTAGAAGAAGCTGGGGAGGTTACAGATTATGGGGAAGAAGATGTGGAGCTTAGACACAGTAAGGTACTGAAGTCTTTCCTTTTTTTTTCTTTTTTTCCTTTCTTTTTTTTCTTTTTTCTTTTTCTTTTTTCTTTTTTTTTTTTTGTTTTGTTTTGGAGATGCTTGGGGCATATACAGACGTCATAGCTTAAGAATTCCAGGCCTGCTTTTGATCCCCTTAAAACACTGTGTTTGGTGAAATTGGGTTAAATTGTGTGTGGGGGGTGGGGTACGAGTTTTCAAAACCTGATTTATATGCAATCGAACATTTTCCTGTTTATACCGTCTGCACGGTTTAATTGCCATTTGAGATTTCTGGAACAATACTCTTCTACTTTGGCCCAGAATGCTTTAAAAGTCACCAGTTCCATGAATGTCGAGCAGCTGTTCTTGGTGGCACTTGTGACCTATTGCGCACTGCTTGTTTGGAATTGGAAGGGGTGCTCTGAGACTTCCCAACTACGGCAGTGGGCGAGAAGACAAATTGACAGGATTGCATCCCTCCATTATAACTGCCAGTTGCCTTTTTAGGTCCAGATGCCAGAAACCCCCTATGTAAATACATTTACTTTTTGATATCAAATGATTTCTTTAAAAGTCTGCCAACCTTCAGAATAAAATACTGCTCTGTGGCTTCATGTGTTTTGCAGCTGCAGGAATGATACTAGTACATTTCTTTATAGTGGGCCAGCATATTTTTTTTTCTTTTTTAGAACATGCATGGAACAGGCATGACATCAAATAATCTCATTTTCTGCCACATTACTCATGGATATTGTGGTATGGGAATTGATAGTGTCAGCTTCTTGTCTCTAACCTACGAGCTACATTTGCTTTCCTTGCAATTGCTTGGAAGTTCAAATGCCTTTTCCATATTTGTCCAATAAAACTTAGTGACTTTTACCCATACTGTCACATTTTAATACCACTATCCAGGCCCCAGAAAAGAGGTGTGCTTTAATTTGTAGGGTTTGTGCAGATGACTGAAGGTAAATTTCTGCTGAGAGTTCAAAGGACATGAAGCCTCTGCAATGCAGTACTAATATAGAAGGAATCAGTTGATGAGGGAGATGAGACTGGATGATACATTCTGTCTCCAACTTCTGTGTTTTCAATTCCCTTTCAGTGTTTGCTGATAGTGTTAACTCAGTCATTTGCATCAGGCAGTTGGGTGAACGTGCTAGAGGAATAGTCAGAGAAGGTTTTTGTCTCCCAAAGTGTGGGAAGGACAAGCCCTCTGTTCACAAAACAGCTTTGTATGGTACACTGCTTTCATCTCTGATGTCATTACAGGTGACAAACGTAGCACATAGTTGATTCTTTCTCTTACTTATCAGAAAATCAATTGTTCTCGGAAATCTAAATGTTAGGGGTAAACTTTAAAAGAAAAGAGATGCAGATCCACTTTTTTTTTTTTTAAAGAAATTATCTTTCTATATGGAATTAAGTGACCTATATACACTGAGCTTGCAAGTGTTGCATAAAAGCAGAAAGAAAGGCCTTTAACTGCCTCAGAAGTTTGTGTATGCATTTAGCTGAATTATGCATGCATGATAGTTATGATGTATATCCACAAGAATCTGTTAGGCAAAACGTTTTTGCAGGCAGACTTTGTCTTGTTTTTTTTGGAAAACAAGAATATTAACGGTTCCCAAGTCTGTAGAATTTTAATTTTATTACATCTTACTGCTCTCCTAATTTATTTATTTTTTATTGTAACACGCAGAGACAAGATGGGAGGAAACAAAGTGAAGGTACACACAAAAGCATTGAAGCAGTTGTTGCTCGCCTTGAAAAACAGAATGGGATGAGTCTCAGTAATACTTCCAGCCCTGAGGAGGCTTTTATGGAGACTTCGGAAGGCATGAACAACATGGACGATGCTGTAGTTCCTCGGATTCTGTATGAAGAATTGCTGAGGAGTTACCAACAGCAACAAGAAGAAATGAGACACATTCAACAGGAGCTTGAGAGAACGCGGAGACAGCTTGTGCAACAGGCAAAGAAGCTAAAGGAGTATGGGGCACTCGTGTCAGAAATGAAAGAGCTCAGAGACTTGAACAGGAGACTCCAGGATGTACTGCTTCTAAGACTAGGTAGTGGTAAGTGCCGGACTTAAATGGGACTAGTTTAATGAATTTTGCAAGTGTGATCAATAGTAACGGAAACATATTTGAAGAATAGCAGTGGTTGTTAAACTGGACATTGAATGTTAAAAGGGTTTTCTACTATGGCTGTATAATATGTGTCGAATTTGTATGCTATGTACGTCTGGGTTTTTCTTTAATGATAGTAGAGGTCTTTGTGCTGGTATGGTTGAATCAGAGTTCCATTTTAAGCAGCTGTATTTTAAAGAGTCTCTGACCTTCCAGTATATGCTGAAAAAGATAATAAAGCGTCATCTGCAAAATATACCAATATGTTCCAGTTTAAAAAGAAAAGAAAGAAGAAAGAAAAGGCAGTGGAATGAATATTTGGGCTAAAACTATTTTATTCTTTTCAGTTAGGGATTTTGGTTATTGTTATGTAAGTGACTGTGTTACCTTCCATTTTCTGCCCTCTCTTCCCATTAGTAGCTCATTAGAATGTGATATATTCCTGAACTTCTTAGCAGTGGCTTTAAACAGCCATGCTACTTGAAAAATAATGGATTGTTAAAGACTAATTAAAAAAACTTTTTATATTAGTGTCCCTTTTATCAACATTTGTTACAAAATGCAGGTTTGTGTAATTTGGATTTAAATTTTAAATATCTTTAGTCAATTGCTCATTTGTTTTGGTTTATAACAATTATTCAACCATTATGTTGGAATAAATGGGAAAAAAAGACAAAATAAAAAGTTCATCCTTTTCATTGAAGATGGTACCCTTGGAATACCTTCAAATATTTTACTAATTTGATATTTATTTGCTATTAGAATGTGGTACTGCTGTGTTGGAAGATTTGCTCGGTGACTGAAACTTGGTTAAAATTTGTGCATCCAAACTTAGCATGCTGTTTCTTATGTCTGCCTTTGTGTATTTGGAAACTTAATTTTTGCATGTAAATTGGATATTGGGTCTTCTACTTGACTGGAACGAGTGCATGCAATTTGCATGTGGGTCTGAGTTACATTCACGTACAAACCTGAACCTGAGAGAGCATGTGCCTGTGCTGCAGCATGTGTTAAGGTGTGCCCGCGAGTTTGGAGCCAGGTTCTTGGAAGTAGCATCTGACGATTTAACCTGGGTGTTTGATTGTGAATGCTCATCATTGTTACACTGTGCATAATTAAAGTGTCATTACTTATTATAAACATTCTAGTTAAGTTTTTTAATAAAACTAAATAGGCAAGGTTTCCACAATCTGAAAAACACTATGTGGTTGGCAGTAGATTCCACCGAGCTTTCTAAAATTTTCCTTGGATGGAAAGATGTTTCTTCATCTGCAAGTAGTTAGCTGGAATTTATGTCAATGGAGCACCAGCCAGATGTTAGTAGGCAATGGGGCTGAACAGCGTAAAATACCAATTTAGTTGGTAGTCTTGACAGCAGTTTGAGTGGTGAGACCAGCAATGAAATGACAACAGCTTCTGAATTCTGTCTTGTTTCTTTCACTTTAAGAAAGAAGGGATGCATTTTTTTTCACTTGAGCTGAATCAAGAAAGCTTGGAAGAAAAAGAAAAAAAACCCAAACCCTCTTGGAAAAAATGCTGAATCTACTCTAAATACTGGGCTTGAATTTCCATTGGTTCAGTCTGGTACCTGCTTGACAACTGAAAATAAGTCTCAATTACATTGAAGACAAGTTCTTTTAATTTAATCACATGCCTGGACAAATACAAATTATAGTTAACTTCCAAAAAAATCCCTTGTTGTTATTGCTTGTATGGAACTTTTCATGGTTGACAAAGGTAGAATTTGGCCCTATGGGCTGTGTCCTTCACAGGGTGTGTGTTTCCTAACACTTGGTTGATTAACCACTGATAACTCTTGCCTTTTCTTGTAGCCTCATTCACAGTAGAGATGCAACCAGATTCTAGGAAGATCAGTACAAAATTTATGAATTATTAGAAAGGGAGACAACTTCAGCAAATTATAGATTAGGGAATCTGATGACAGTATGAAGAAGTGCTACTTTTAATCAAGAAATAGATATGTAAAGACTTCTTTAGTCTTCCTTACTTTTCCAGCTTATAAATGAGGTATATTTGGATATATGAATGATCTGTGAAAATTGTTGAGAAAATAGATTACATCCTGAATTCATCTTCAGTTGTTGCAGCGATCTCTTAAACTTAGAGTTTCAAATTACACGTAATTTATGTTATGCTGCACTTCTAGCAGGCTGGACTTAATGCAAACTAATTGCATTTCTGTTTCACCTTAGAGACTTCTGATTTCTTTGCATGATGTGACAGCTGTTTTGTGCTGATGAATTGCAGCTGTGGGAAACGCGTGCCTGTTGCCATTTTAAACTTGCAGATCAAATATAGAACAGCCTCTTGAGCTAAAATTCAGTCTCCTAATTTCCCATCAACATGTTGATTTCAGTGAGCAGCTAGAAGTCAACGTATTCTGCTTTAGACCTAGGCCTTCATCTCTGCTACTAAACTTGAGCCACTCCCGTGGGAAGAGTGAGGTTCTTAATCTTCCACATGGTGACCCTGAATTGCTCGTGGTTTTAGAAGAACCTTGAAAGCAGATGTGACAAACGACCGTAGCGAAATCAGTACTGATCCATGGGGATATACTGAAGCTTCTTTATGATTTTGATACGCTGTTGCCCAACAGATCCCCACCTGGAGGAGACAGGCATTTGACCAGGGCTCTAGGGACCAAAGCAGTGGGGACGGTGATGACTGTCATGGAAGAGGTTATGGTATCCCTCATCTGAGCTCCTGGAATAATGTGTGCAGCCAAAGCCTCTTTTCCCTTGCCTACTTTGGGATCAGGAAGCCATGTGATCGTAGGCCTTTTCAGTTTATCTTTGTTCTGTTGCATGTGAAAACACGCTAATTTGCCCTGTTTTTATCAATAGAGAGTAAGGTGATTTAGAGAATTAAATCGCTGACTCTTCCCTGTAGGCCTAATTTTAAATAGCCCTTGGATTGCAAAAGATAAGAATTTCAATAACTTCTTAAAAAAAATAATAGTTGTCTCCAGGCTAAGATCTGTGCAGTTTACTGTGGTTATATATGGCCAGAAGTAGTGAAGTTGTACCAGGGGATAATGTTTGGGTGTTGTTCACTCCCTGATAAATACTGCATTTCCATGTTGTATTGCTAAGAATTAGTGTTGCTCTAAAGTCAGGGAGTGTATTCACTTTCATTCATAAACATTCATTCATCAACACACACAGTCTCTCAGGTGGTTATTTTTAATCCCAGTTTAATTCCAGTGATCCAGTTTACAGTGTCTTGGGACTGACACCAGAATAGGGAGAATGAAATGATATTTGTGTTTTACCACGTGTAAGGAATTACTATTATTCAGCTGTTCCAGATTCCTTTGGCTTTTTGATGTAAAAAAAGTCCAGGGTTTCTATGAACTACAAGTACGTGAAGTACCATTTATATATGACATTACTACTTCTCAGACTTCTGTTGTTGTCGTTCAAATTCTGGTAGACCATGTAGAAAAACAGCTTGCTACTTACAAATCTATATTGACCACTTTATCAGCTAATTTATTTTGGCTTATTTACTAATTTTTGAGTAGCGCATAGCCTAAGATGCGTTTTTGAGGAAAAGAGGTGATGAAGGGAAGCCTTCTACCTCTTCACCCTGAATTTGAAGTTGCTGGCCTCTCAGGTATTATGGAAACTTTACAGTCAGGAGAAAGATTTTGCAATAAAACATTTGTTTCCTTTTTGCATTCTGAAGAATTGTCTTTATTTTTTTTATGATCCTTATTACGTAAGTATTATCATTGTTAAGCCTTTAGATAGCGGCATATATCTTTGATCATCTTTAAAATAAGACACAGAGCATGAGAGCTACAGAGAGAGGAAACTTTCAGAGAGTGTGGTGTGTGGTAAATTGGGCACACAACTCCCATTAGCAGCAAGGCAGTAATGCAGGCTACATGTCTAATTCACAACATGCCAGGTTGAAAATGCAGTCTTCAGTAGATGGTGAAAGTAGCTGTGAAGGTTACCTAGTTTGAGGCAGATTTCTGTTTGGGAAGAAAAAAAGTAGAATATAAGAGAAGACCTTTTAAAGGCTTTCTGTTGGTGACTTTTAAGTGAGCAGTAAAGCTTGAATTGCAATAGAGGTTCTTCTGACCTCTTAGACCTATGGTTATTGTGGACTTTAATCAGCTGTTTTTCTTGGGCACCTCTGGAAACCAGACCCCAGCTATGTCAGTATATGACTATAAACAAAACAGTGAAAGACTTCTAAATGGCAACTAGTAAAAGTGTTTAAAGTGAGAACATTTCCTTCTAGGAAGAAGGTGGTTGTACTTGGGTATCTTCCTCAAAGTGACTTTCAAAGTGTAAGACCACTCAAGATAGCACTTTGTTGAAGAATGTGTTCTTAAAGTAACAGCTAAAAGGTCACTTTTTAAGTTCACACTGGCAATTATGTTACTGCATCTGCTTGTTCAGGGGTGCCTACCCTGAGATGTGTGCAGGCTTTGGGTGCTTTAATCAATCCAGGTCTTTCCCTCAATCTGAATCAGTTTAGCAGTCTCAAGTTCAGAAAGTTTAGTTTGTCTTGGCTGTACTATTGTATATGCATGGTATTAGAGGGCCTTACTAAGATTACTATGAAATTATAATGCAAACAGTATGTTTTTTGTGATTTCTCTGCACCATGCTTGCATTGCATATGGGTCTTAAGACACTTTTGGTGGCACTGCAGTATAGGAGTGCCTGAGTTGCAGATAAAACTTCTAGTTGTTGCTGAGCGTCAAGTAGCAGTCAGCTGAGAACATTTAGCTAGCTATGTAGGTGTAGAATAAGCTATAGGATAAATGTCAAAGGCTGACAATGGAGGAAATGCTGATATCACTGTATAATAATCTAAATGAAAGCACACAAAGTAGGAGGAATGAATGCTTTGCTTGTTCCAGGTACAGGAACTATTTAAGATGCATGACTCGAGACATGAGTTCTGGTGCCAGCTTGACTTGCAGAGTTAGATCAATTCAGGCCTTGGTCTGTGTGCACAAACACTGAGGAAGGATGCTGAACTGTGATGGTGACCTGATTGTTGAATTGTCGTTTGTTGAAGATGTCAAGGTTGGGCTACAGAGTGCTGCAGCGCTCTCGGCACCAGCCTGGTACAATATAGTTCTTACAAGTGGGTGAGTTTATCTTCATAGTTCATGGAAGTGGCTGATTACTGTGGTGTCCAGGGTCTAAGCTGGCAACCTTGCTGTGTTAACGAACCACCGTCCCTGCGTGGAACTTCAGTGACTGCTGGAGCTCCTTGTGATCCTAGAGACAGACATCCAGAGACAATGATAGGCTTGGGGCCATAGCCTGTTCCTAGACTTCTGGTGTTACCGCTGTAATGTAATGGAATAATGAAATCCAGTTCACAAATTATTTTATTTTGTTCTTCTTTTTAGGAACACTTTTTATTAATTTGATCTGGACAAGAAAAGTTGATGACTGACAAAATTATTATACTCCTTTGAAGCCTCAAGCATATGCTTAGTCATATTCTGTTTAATCTGTGCTTAATTTTTGTTGATTACATTAAAAATAAAAATCAGTGTATTGGATGGATTGGACAATCAAAATTTTAATTTATGTGGGGTTTTTTTAACCTTGGATACTTTTTCTATGCATGATACTTTAGCATAAGTAGCCTAAGCCTGTTTGCTTTGTAGCATTTCTGTAGATCCTCACTATTTTTAATATATGCCTGTTACATCTAAAGGGATTTCAAATTTCTATAAAATTTGTAATTCTATATGGATAATTTGTATAATTATCACAGTAAATTTTGCAGGTTTCTATGCAACTATATAGTAATTCTTATTTGAAGAATTGCTGTTGTTGCTTTTGGTTTATAATGTCAGCGTCATTTTAACATAATTTCCATAGCGTGCATTGAAGCTATCTTACCCGCACCTGTAATTGCCCATATGCTTTAAGACTAAAATTAAACATTTAAATTAAAATTAAACATTTTAATGTTTATAAAGCAGAGTTACTTATCCTGCTCTTACTTATTGACATTCAGAAGTAAGATTTTGGTTTAGACTCTTCCTAACTTTAAAATGAACATGACTAATGTGTTATTTTATGTTAACCATGCGTGATGAAGTGATTGATTTCATGTTCTCTGGGATAGCAGACAGCTCTCTTTTCTTAACTGTCTAGGACCTGCCATTGAGCTTGAAAAAGTAAAATCAGAATCAATTGAGCCCGAACCTGAGGTACAGAAGACCTTCAGTGAGGAAGCAAATACATCAACGTACTATCCTGCCCCTGTTCCAGTAATGGACAAGTATATTCTCGAGAATGGAAAGGTATTTTAAATTAAATATAGCATGAATAACTTGTAAATGTCCATCAGGTGATTTTATTGTGGAATTTTCATGATCTCGGGGGTTTTGCGTGGTAGCAGCTTATACAAACTTCCTGAGTTTTCCTAAAGGTATGCTGAGGAAAATTATGAAATTACACAAATGTGAACAGCATAGAAAATTATTCTCAGTGATGAAAGCATTGAATGCTGTGCAATCCAAGGAATGTAATTATTAAATATTTATGCACAAGCAAATTGGCATAGTCTTCAATTGGTGACATACATAAATCCACCGAATATAGACCAAAGTCAGTAACCCACATTATAAAGTTACATTAGTCTATTTAACAGAAATACTTTTTCCTAAAAGGTCTTTAATGTTTTTTAATGTGCTGTAGTCTTATCGCAGAGAAGCCTTCATGTTTTGGTTGGAGTCCAGTAGATAATTAGGAACCCTGGAATGAAAATGGACTCCCTTGAATCTGGTAGGAGCATTGCCACTGAATTGAGCTGATGTAGTGCTACTTTCCTTATGAAGCTGGTGAAATACCATCTAGCTACAGTTTGCCAGAACCTGACTTACAGCCTTTCAGACTTCAGCATGTTTAACACATTGTCCACTCATCTACCAAGGCCTGCTTTTATAGCTGTTGCTATTATCATTAAATGAACATTGTTTTTCTTTTACAAAACCCTATGTCCTTCAGAATTGCCTATGCAGATCCTGTTTCTTAGGCTATGTATGCATTTGGTACCATAATGTGGGAATCTTTAATGAGGAAACCTCCACTTCAGCTTTGGCTTACAGTGTAATTACTGATGGAATAGCATGAAATACTACATTTTCAGATTTGTGTTACAAGATTGACTGCACAAGCGTCTATCATTCTTGATGATGTATTTGACATAATTGTTGAGGACAAAATGTATCTGAAAAATAGTATAATCTTGGCAGTTTGACAAGTATTTGGTTCAGATAGCTTTTCTTGCCTAATATATTTAACATATGTCATTTGCTTGTATATTTTGTGTATATTTGTGCAATGAAAACTTTGTATATATTACTGTGAGAGTTTGGTTTACCCCCTTTTTTTCCCCGTTTAAAGTCTGTGGGATAGGGCGCATCCTTTACTATTTGTATGCAGCTTTTCCTGCACCTTTATTTCTTCTGCCAGCTTCTTGGCACTTCTGTTGCTGAAGTTTTCTCTCTCTTTACAGATATCTCTTTAACTTTCTTTTTGTAACTTTGGTTTTTCTTTAAGTTTGCCTATTTACTGGGGCTTCAGCCAGCTCACATGCCAGAAATGTGAACTAATAATGTATTTAGAGTGTTGGAGGGTGTTTTTTTCAGTTTTTCTTCTTTATGCCTTTTTTTCATTATTCCTTTATTGACATGCACCACTAGAGTAGTTGAAATACTTTTTTAGAAGTCTTGCCCTTTGTGGCATCGGATTTGATCTTAGTAGGATTCTTTCAAAGCAGATAAATCTCTCCACTCCAGAGGGAGAACAGAGTTACTGAAAAAGAGCCTATGGCATTCATTTAAAGAAAAGAAAAGAAGAAGGAAAAAAAAAAAGAAGGAAAAAAAAAGAGTTCATCTTCTGAGATACATTTTCGATATATTGCACATGTTAGTACAGTTACGGTGGTGAGCATTGCTTTGAATTTGCTGTTGTTTCTGTTGCATTGTGCTTGAAGGTTGGTCCTGCAGTTGCTGAAACTGGGGGTAAAGTTCCCATTGATTTCATCAAGCCAAGGGTCTGGCCCATGGGGCAGCTCTTCCAGCAAGAAGGAAATGGCTTCTGAATCTGGAGTACAGTAAGCTTCCCATAGCTTTGGGGGTAATAGGAAACAGTACTGAGCCTGTTTTACAGAGAGGTAAACTGAGACATGGACAGATTAAATTCCTTGCCGTAACAGTGCTAGAAATAGAAAAAGGGAGACATAAGATTTCTGTGTCTGTGGCTGTCTGTCACGTAGTTGCTGTTACCATAGGTGTTTCATACCAGTGATTGTTTTTTTAATAAATGAAGCATAAATGAAGAGGTGATCTGTCTGAAACATAAATATTAAAAATACTTGCTGTAACTTGTTGTTTTCTTTTAAGTAACTTAAAGCTAATGAATAATGTAGTAGCTTAAGAGGCTAAACAATTTTTAGCAAAGACAAACCCTAATTTTGGCAGAGGGGAATCAGATTTTTGATCAAATACAGCAGTCTCTACAACTAATGTAATACAGGCATCCAAAATTCGGCATGTCACAACATTCCTAATCTTAGTTATTTTCTAAGTGACTTACACTCATTTTTACAGATAACTTTTCCAAGATCAAAACAGAAGTAACTGAATTGTAACTAATGTGATGGTTTTCTGAGCGCAGACTGCTCACTCTGATTGAAGTTGTCTTACAAAATATGTAGAGAGCACCAAAAGAGTGTGAAATTTTTTTTTTAAAGCAATTATGAAGAGGCTCGACAACAGAGAAGGAAGAGAAAAAAGGGGTGTTCATGTTGTGGTTATTACTAGTTCCGTTTCTGTCCATTACAAAATCTAAATACCATGCAGACTTGTGAAAAGCTTCTTAGAATGCCTTTAGTGTAGAAGATTCTGCAGGAGAGGCAGCTTGCTTTACTTTAAGGAAGTTAGACTTTTCATTTGCTTTTTATAATGTAGCTGGTAGCCAAGCCATTCATATTTTTCTATTTAAGTTTTTAAACAACAAGTTGCTTTTGAAGGATGCTATCAAAATAAAAAATTTCTGTGGGTTATAGCCCTCATTAATAATTAAAGCAGGTTTCCCTTTAAAGGAAAAATGGTATTTGGTTGAATACAGACAGTAAAATTACGGGTATATAAAATTTTACAGTAGCTTTGTCCAATTTTCATTGAATTTAATGGGATTTATGTGATACTGTTCAGATATGTATGGGTAGCAGGCACAGTTTATGTAATGCCACATGAAAGGAGTAAAACCACAAAAAACTAAGAGCAAAACAGTTAAGGCAAACAGAGTCTCCTAATATAGTTTTGCCATAGAATTTTGTTCACAGGATTTTTTTTTAATCGTGAGGAGGCAATAAGCTTTTATTAAAGTGTTAGTGTTGCAGAAAGAACTTCCATTTGTTCAGATCTTATGAAACCTAAATTTTGGATATAACAATCCAATTGATACATATTTTTGGTATTTTGCACTTTTACAGATTATCTGAAAGTAAGTTCTATCTTGTTCCTTACCAGTGCAGTGAACTCTTACCAGTAATTGCAATAGCTAGGTCACACATTAGCTTGTTATGGATGATAAGCAAGCGTGGGTCCAACCAAATGAAGTTCATCACTATGCGAACGAAGCTTTCTGTGTGCAGAGGTGGTTCAGGTGTCTGCACTGTACTGCAAGAATTAGGGGCATAGACATACGAGGTACAAAGTGTTCTCCGTGGTTCCGCACAGGGCCAGCGTTTGCGTCCTGGTTGCACTCATGTCAGACCTGTGCTGGTTACTAGTGAAGTTACTTTCCTTGCTGTTGCTTGATTGTGTCCTGGTTATCAGGACTATCGGCTCCAACGTGCATAGTGGGAGCCTAAGGAGGGTACTCAGATTCTCGTCCTGCGTTCATCTTAAGTCTGGGGTAGAGGTACTACGTAGCTCTGTGAGAGTCAACCCAGCGTAGTCAATGCTGAGCAAGACTAATAAGCACAACTAGACGCAAGCAGCTTCCTTTTAGAGACTCTGCAGTGGCTTCACACTGCATTTCCCAGTACCCATATTACCCTGGTTTACTACTTCAATGAACTATCTCTACTCCCCATTGTCTGGATAATGGAAAGTTTATGATGTTGTAGCAATGGGTCATTTCCTTGCCGCAAAACAGTATTCACCTGAATAGGCTGATCATACATGATAGGCAAACTTCTTGATAGAATAGGAAGTTTTACAAAGCTTCCAAATTCTCTTGGCTTATATTGAAATGGGAGCTCTCAAAATCCCTTCTCCCCTTCTAGTTACTTTAAACAATCAGGCTGAATTTTGCAAACAGGTACAGGGTACGACTTAGGAACTGTTTCCCTCTACTGCCTCCAAAATATGCTTTGGGTAAAGTCTGTTTCAGCCAAAGGGAAGCTTGCATATTAAAGACGTTTCATCTTGCTCCTGAGTTAGGCTGGTGCAACTGCTTGGTTTATGTGCTGTGCATACCTCTGTAATACTGGATGTGTTTACCGTTTCCTTCTTGTATCTCTGTTCCTGACCATAGTCTTTCAGGAGATAGGCTATGCGGGGTGGAGGGGAAGTAGAGAGTAAGAACTGAATACAAAAAGGAACTTTATTATACAAGAGGTTGACTTGAACTCCCTGACCCACAAAGTTGGAGAAGTTTCAGAATTAGGCAAAATGGATTTATTAAGCCCTAATTACTGTTATTATAGTACCTAATATTAATGTTCCTACAGCACTTGGATACTGTTGTGTGCTACATACCATAGATAAGTTGTTATTATTACTACCTTCTAGGTCCATCTTGGCAGTGGAATTTGGGTAGATGAGGAGAAATGGCACCAGCTGCAAGTAACACAAGGAGATTCAAAGTATACAAAAAATCTAGCGGTTATGATTTGGGGAACAGATGTTCTCAAGAACAGAAGTGTCACAGGAGTTGCAACCAAAAAAAAGAAAGATGCCGTTCCCAAGCCACCTCTCTCACCTCACAAATTAAGCATTGTCAGAGGTAGGTTATTTGAAAACTTTTGCTTCCTGCTTTGGAGTTTACATTAATCACCGAGTTGAAAGATGCTTCTTTTCAGCTCATATAAAATTAACTGATTAAAAACTGTAATTCTCATTGCTATTGCATTGTGAAGTGCATACATATCCAGGAAAAGTAAAACACATTGCAATAGCTGTGGACAGTGCAGGCCTTCGCAGCTGAAGAGTTGTACATTGACTTCAGTAAGGTTCAAGAAGATCATCACTTTAAACCACTTGCAGGACAGGACTCTGAGCCTGGGGAACAACACATTGTTCTGGAATTCATTTATAACATAATGATTTTTTAAAATGCATATATTCCTTTTAACAAGCCTGAGAGTAGCTTTACCACATTCTTTCATCCAGAACATAACCAACTCTGGCATGAGGCACAGAAACCATTATAGCTGTGACTATAAAAATACGCATACCTTCAAAGGCAAGAAAGAATAGTTTTACCCTTTTAAGTGGAGAAAATGGAAATAGTAAAAATTAATTGTTGCACTTGAATTGGAATTTGAACAGGAAGTGTAAATCGTTGACCTATCTGGCAGGAAAAATTTCAATGACACTTTCAGTAACTGCAAGCCTGAGTCCATATATGTAGTACTTTGAGAGAGAAAAGGCCTTCTCCTTTATTTAAAATGAATAGTGAATTGCAGTCCCTTTGTATCATCGTGCTTGTGTTTTGCATTTATTTCTGTCTCTCTTGGTATTTCAGGCTTCTTTTTAAGTCAGAACTAAGTCAGTTCCTCATGGAATACATACCAAAAATGGATTTTTAGGTTTTGTGTCCATACTAAATTGCAGTAGGGCTGAAAGAAATCTCCCTATTTGATTGAGCTTCATTATTCAACACATAGTTGCTCTGTGCTCTTAACTATGAACTGTTTAAGAGCTGTTGTAATCTGCCTTGCAAGTACCATGTTTTGGAAGTAAGAAATATGATTCCTCTTTGAGTGTGTGCGTGTGTCTGTGTTGTGTGGGGAGAAGTTGGAAACTGATCTTCGTACTGTGATCTTTCTTAGTTTGTAAGAAATGAGTAAAAGACACGGTTTGTTTTTTTTTTTACTAATTTGCTTCAAGAATAGATGTGGAAGTGCAAGCTGTTCCATGCTGATTTTCTAGTTCTGACTGGGACCTTTTGGTACAATCCTAACACATGTAGCAAAGTAATGAGGTACTGGCAATGTAAGGAATCCACTCTGGCTGTGGCTACCCTTGTCAGCTCCTAATGGGAAACAGAATTGGTTACCCAGATGCATACTTACAAGCATGCAGTAAAAAGGGGTTATTTTTCACTGGCCCATTGCAAAGAGCTTTCTGGTTTCCCTGCTGGAGGCTGTTGTTCCTCAGCACTGCTGGTAAGGTTGCTTCTGTGAGAATTTCCTCTTCTACTTCACTCAGGGCCACTCTGTGTTGCTCGAGCTGTTTAAATGATAGCTTTCTTCTAACTCCCCTTGTTTTGACTACAGTGAGTTTGGGAGTATGCTCCAACAGGTAAATAGTGAGAGGCAGATGCGGCTCTTCCCTCTCTTCTCTTCCATACCTTTACACTTGCCAGGAATTCAGCTCCTCCCTATTTCCTTGTTTTTCTGTGTTTTCTGTCATACTTTTGCTTCCAGCCTCAACCCTCATTTGAATTCTACTGTTCCACACCCTGGTTTTCCATGTCCCTCTTTCCAGTGTTTCTTTCGCCTTGTCTTTGACTCCCTTTTTGTTAGACTCAGGACTGTACAATCTCCTCTTGAACCAGTTAAACTGCATGGCCAATGTTTTAGGTGGCAGCAGACAAACTTCCTGTATCAGCGGTACTGGGTAGCACATAATCATGATTTTCTACGTTGTTGTGTCCTTTGCATTTGCGTCAATGTTAGCAGGTCTTGCCCCATCATGCCAGCAGTGTTTCCTGGAAAGCTGGAAGTGGCCAAATAAGTTGTTATGGAGAAGAAAACAAAACAAAAAAAATGAGTAGCAAGTGGACAAATGGTGAAATGCGAGGAAGTTAGAATTTACATAGCCAATGATTTGGGTCAGGCATCACAGAAAGAATTAAAGCTCCTTGTTAGTCTTTGAGGTCTACTTGAATCTTTGGTCCAGTCAGAAATAGGAAGGGGTATCTGTATGCTCCTCTAAAGCCAAAAGACAAAGAAGCAGAACCCCAAATCGCTCTTTGGAGCCCCTAAGCCAGCATCCTTATGTGATTACTAAAGCACTATTTCTGCAGCCCCTCATAAAAATGGAAGAGATGGAAAAGGAAAAACTGTGATGATCATGGATCTGTCTGGGTCACAGTGACTTTAAGAGTCACAGCTGATGAATGAATTCTGTCAAGTGATTCTTTGCTTGATATTGTGGCTAAACTAATAACATAGCCTGTCTTTTACTGGAAGTTCACCTGACTAGGTGTATCTGCCACAACCTGGGAGTATTCCTGAGATTGTTGTAGTACAAGCAAACACACTGGGTTTCTTCAGGTTCTCAGTGACGTGCCTCTTTTTAGGTGTCATATTTCAAATCATAGTTTACTGATGATCAGCATTTCAGCTATCAGGCTGCATGCTGATTAATTTGGTTTATTTTATATTCAGTACCTCTTACCACATAAAATGCACATTGTTTTTAGATGTTCTTATCATTCTGTGGGCACAGACTAACTTATTTAAAATAGATTTTTGAATGACAGCATTAGCTCTTAATGTGTCTGATAGCTGTAGCTTCTTAAAAATCCCTATTGTGTAGTATGTAATAAAGAAATTATAAAAAGTATGATGCACGAGCACTGTTATAAACCTTGTTAATGCAAAATAACCTTTTATAAAACTTCTGAGAGGTTTCAAAATGAACTACAAAGCATGCATAGTACTTAATTTTCATAACTTTTTAATACGACGCATTAGAAATGTTGTAAACCATGTTAATTAAGTGATAATCTCTGTGGCTTTCTGTATATGAAGCAATAAATGGCTACTGGAATAGATTGCTAGGCAAAGCAGAACAGAGTTTGTTTAACCAATCTGGGAAGCCTACACAACAAAATACATTGTTCTGGCTATGAAAACAAAAAACCCCAAACCTGCCTGTCACTAAGAAGTTGGGTGTGCTGCACCACCGCCAATTTCAGTAACCTCTGCAGGATTCTGGCACCGAACTACAGACTCTGTGAAGCAGAATTGTCTCAACTTTCATTGCCCTCATTGCTTTTGCAGTTATTACTGTTGCTTGCTTTTTGTACTCCAGTTAAGTTCACAAAGTGTATTGTGCAAACATGCAAGAAGATGGTTCTCGCCCTGAATAATCTACTAATAAAAGCAAAATATGCCCAGGGACAGGGCGTCCGATAAAGATGCAGACATTAATGTATGTTGAACAGATTTAAAAATAAAATAAATCGGTTAATGTCTTCTCCTACTGATTACTGATTCTATTCCTAACCATTATCATTTACTTACTGTCTTGAAGGTGTGAAGGTAGGAGTGATTCACAGGGAACTGTAGATAATAACAGTTCTGGTGAGACCGTTCACCTGGGAAAAGGTTCTAAATCTGCTGTGGAGATATGGACAAATACAAGAGTTAGGTGGGCAAGACTAACACTGTAAAAGGTTGGATGTAGCCTTGTTTCTATATAGAAAGCCTATTAATGTAGTCACAGCATAACTGGAAGTTGGTCATGCCAAAGATTCAAGCCAGGTGAAAAATCTTAACTTTAACAAGATAGCCAGTGAATCAATGAAAGCTTCTGCTGTCTTGCAACAAATACACAGTGCTTACTCAGTGCTGTCTCTTGAGTAGTTAGCCCAACACAGGGCTATATTCTTTTCTAAAAATATCCTAATGGCTCTTTCCTTTTTTTTTCTCCCCAGAATGTTTGTATGATAGAATAGCACAAGAAACTGTGGATGAAACTGAAATTGCACAGAGACTCTCCAAAGTCAACAAGTACATCTGTGAAAAAATCATGGATATCAATAAATCATGTAAAAATGAAGAAAGGAGGGAAAGTGCAAAGTACAATTTGCAATAAATTTTGGATTTTTAATAAAGTCTTAGTGTTTTACTTAAGTGTTGTTTTTTGATTTGTGTGGCATTTTTGCTGATGGGAGAAGCTGACTTGAAGTGTTACTCTCCTTCTATAACTGATTCATTTTTTGAGCGGCTCTGTCAAAAGCCTTTCTATGGTGTAACCTGCTTTTAAATAATGTAAGATATATTGTAAGTCCACTCACAATGAAACTGAATTTTCAAAGGTTTTTCCAATGAGTTGCAGTATGTTACCTGCAGTTCTGTATATAGGTTGTAATTCTGCGAACACCAACCCATTTTGCCTACATTTTGTTTTACGGGAGTTAGTGGATCTAGGCTGTAGTAATCATCTGCTTAGAAGGAAGAACTGTACAAAATCCACTTTGCTATTGAAAAGGGTTTTATTGTATTTTACGAAGTGTTTTTCTGAACTGAAATTTTAATCGTTTGTTTTTATAAATCTTTGTTTTGATCTCTAACAATATATTTGGTCAAAAACACACAAAGAATGCTTCTTTTTGGCTTATTATCTTGTAGATAGATCACCATTGCTGTCATAGTTTTAAAAAAAACAAACAACAAAGAACCCAAAGCTGTAAGTTGTAAAATCATGATAATTTATTTTAAAAAATAAATAAATCTAAAAGCAGTTCTTTTTCAGGCACCAAGGCACTTTTCAGATTTCTCGTTATGGTACAAAGCTCTTCAGTATGTCCATATTACTGTTCCTGAAGCACTATATTTTTAGTGTGTTTGTATTTTCAAATGATTTAAAGATTGCCACACTATGGCAAGATTATGTATAATAGAAAATTTAGTACCATTTTGTCTGAGTCCATAATTTGACAATGGACACTTTTAGGAGAAATTTAAATTAAAAATCATTTTCTACATTGAAGTTAGACTTGCGATGCAAAGTTATAAGGAATAATTTGTTGTCTGAATTATACCTTACTGTCTGTAAATGAAAGAAGATAACCTAAAGTCTTGTTTCGTGAAGGATTTTGAGAATAAGGTTTGTTGAGATAATTTAGGGCTTGGACTGATCAATTTTGACGATTTGTTATATTGGTGATCTTAGTTAACCTTCCATTTATTTTACGCGCACAGATGTGCTTATTTGCCATTCAGGCTGTCTGTTCCTGAGTATCAGCATTTGTTTCTTTTCTACCACCGCAGTTCTGCTTCCTGTAGTTTTGAAAGACCATTTCTTATCATCTTCCTGTAGCACTCGTATACCCTAACGTTAAGCGTATTTCAATGCTCAAAGGAGCAACACAAGGATTCTTTAAACGGCTGGGGTGGGTGGAAGAAAGAGGGGAAAGGAGAGGAGGCTTGCTAGAACTGCAGTGCCTGTTTTGGAAGAGATGGAGAAAAACACCATGTTGTCTCTTCCTGTACACCACGTGTGCTTAAATGGTGTCTTAATTCAGGGCATAAGTATTTGGTTTATGCTTTCTGAAGTGCAATTTCACGATTGACTTGTACCAATCTAAGTATGCCGTGCTGCCGAACAGGTACGACCCGCTTTCGCTGCTCGTGCCCTTGCGTTCCCATCCCTTCCCTTGAACCGGCACTTGGGATTGCGCAGATGTGTCAGATCTCACTGATTTCCAAGGTTCATTTCGTAAGGGCTGGTGCCAATGGGATGAAGCCAGGGAGCATTCATAGCGAGGGATGGGAAGAGGAGGAGTGTCTTTTTACGGTGGCTTATGTGTGCCCTGAAATTGCATTTAACAGCCTAGCTTGTCTCCTGTTAATATCAAAGTGTTCTTAGGTAGTGTTTAATGAAGTGCATAAATGTTTATGCTTCCTAATTTGGGATGCTAAATAGCAAATTAGTGTTTATAATGTCAGTGCATGTATCCTTTTATTAATTAAAGAACAAAATAGAGATAACATTGAAGAAACACTTAAAAAGCAAGTTCCCACTTTTCAAGCAGACTTGTGAATGTAAAAATTTTTTTAAAGTGATACTAGAGCAATCCACTAGTTTAGGGGAAAATGTCCATAATTTCCTCAGTCTTTTATGGCTTTAGTACTAATGTGTTTTCATTGTAACAGATTCTTTAATGAGAAGATCATGCTGCACTTCTTAGAAGATAAGCCTATTTGAGACAGCATTTTATGAAACCTGGGAAAAGCAGATTAGAATTTAATTAGAGTTAGGACTCCAGCCTGGCCCCCAAAATCAGAGATTCTGAGTCTTTCTGTGAAATCGGCATCATCTTTCTAAGACTTCTCCTTGACAGACTTGTCCCATCAGATGTTAATGCTGAATATTGCTGAAGAATTTAAATGTTTTCTTTGGGGAAGATATCTTGGAGGTCTTCATTCATTTCTTCGTGGAGTTTCTATCAGCCCAGGTCTAGCAGACAGTTTACAGCAGAGTTTAACAGTATTTGGGTGGCACAGAAAGGTTCACTTCCCTTTGAAGTGTCGCATCGGGGGGCTGAGACTGTGTCCTTTGGACTGGGCAACTGGCATTTAATGTGAGCGTCACCTGAAGCTTTGCTGAGTTACAGGAAAGGAATGGGACGTATTAAAGTTAAAATACCTCTTTATTGTATTAGAACTTGAACGAAATCTTTGCACTTCTGGAAATAAGTTTTTGCTAGTAGTAAGCCGGTTTTGCATACTGCAGTTGTAAGGCAATGTGCGGAGGGCTCTGCAATGGATAACAGGTCTGTATGAATAACATCTTTGCGCTTCTCTTTGGTCATTATTCTTGTCTTTTCCCTCCCCATGAACCCTTACAAAGACCGTACAAGTCTTTCCCAGTGTGACTACTTCAAGTAGGGAAATAGGCTACGGTTGTCGTGTGTTCCCGCATTACCCAAGGAAAGTACAAACTTTAATGGGGTGTGCTTTTCTGCAGCGAATTTCATTTCGCTATGTTATACTGCATTTATGGCCAGTACTGTTCTTGTTGGTACATTAATTCTTCCATAATTGTGCCTGCCTGTACATAGTTTTGCTTCGTTCATAATGCATCTGCCATGAATCTACCATAGGAAACGTTATGCAAAAATAGCACCTACTAACTTTTTCCTACTTTAGGTTAACTTCATACCTGTACATCATGTGAAACAGGAGAGAATTTTGACATAAAATGAAGTAGATTTTACTACACCCTGTAATACCCCTCATTCATCATTCTCAGGTTTGTGCTGTGCCATTACTTCATACTGTAAACTTTGGATTTGTAAGTATCAGAAAAACACAGATTTAAGAGGAACTGACTTTTTGTCCTGAGAGATCAATGGATACTGTTTACTTTTTTTTTTATCAAAAAAGGAAGAAGGTATTGCTGTTACAGTAATAATCTGATCCTTTGTTGCCACACATTGCTGCTGTAATTTGTGATATTCATGACCTGATCCATATTAAAGTGCCTCTGGCACACTTGCAAGGAAGCAAGATTAGAGTTAACAAAAAGGGCTTTATTTTCTATTAATGATTTTATAAGGGAAATGAGCTATTATATTAAAGGAAAGAATCCTACCAGAGATTGTAATACTTGAGTCAAGATGTCTAGCCACTCAATTGAAAAAAGAAAGCTAGTATTTGTTAGAGAAAAAACAAAAAAAGTTAGGTTCTGCTGTTACAGAACAGGTTTGGATTTAATGATGCTTTATAGAGATGGGAGTTTTGGGTTTTTTTTTTCATACAGCCGGACTAAAATACTATTTTAGTCATGTCAAAGTTGAACTATAAGTAGAAGGGATTTAAGGTTGTATTTGGTTAGCTATTGAGTATGACTGTCAAAAGAGGGTACAATCTCCCTGCGGGAGGTCCCTTCTTTGCACCGTACCTTTGATGTTGTATCTGATAGATTACTACGATGCTGCTTTGTTGTCTTAAGCATAGATTATTGTCCTCTTGGAAGTTTTAAGTAGCAATAAATTGAACTTTTTTGGATTTAGTGAAATTGTAAAGATAATACTATCTTGATGCAAAATCTCAAAGGAGTGAGAATGTTCTGACTTGGGAACATTCTGTATGGGCTGTAGCTTCACTCTGCGTTAGCTGCATTTGTAACTCTTCAGAACCCCAAATTTGGCCAGTTTCTGAAAGGGAAGGCAAGGTTGTGTCACATAGAGCTGTACTGAGGATTATTTCAATACTCCATCTTTTGGTGTGAGAGTGACCACTCTTCAGAAAGATGCAAAGACGAAACGTGCTTCTTCAGAACGAGGTGGTAGTTTTCTCGGTATTCTTGAAAATATTTGTCATTCTGTGCATGCCTTCAGTCTCGGATTGATGAAGTCATAACATCGATTGCTTAGGCTTTATTGGTGTCAGTTTTTTCATCGTAACTGTGGAACTGTGAAATGATTCATACAACACTGAGGCAATAAAAATGTTATGAAGTGCAATCATTGCATGTTTCATGCTCAGTAGCTAATTTTTAATTTCACCATCTTGGACACTTTTTCATCCCCTCAGGCTTCCTAAATAGGAAAGGAGAATCATTTGGACTTGGAAAACAGGAACAGTGATTCAAAAAGCAATTAATTTACTTGGCTGTTCATTTGCTTTACTTTTGCAATTATTTCTGCTGTTTATGTTTGAACAATAACTTTCATGCTGTGCATTGGATACCCGCTTGTTCAGTCCTGCAGTGAAATGCAGTCCTGTGGTTGTGACATCATTTGTTTACCATCAAGAGGAAAATACCTCACCTATGACGTCAGATGAATTTGCATTGTGTCTGGATCAGAACAGGGGTGAAAATGTGTCTGGGAGGAGAGGAAGAAGCTGAGCCTAAAGGTTTTTTCCTGTGCTGCCTTCTGACTAGAAAACTTCTTCCTACAGAGGAAATTATCTCCTTCACATTTAGCAGAATAGCAACTTTATGTTCCTTGTTTATTGATAGTAAAACCTTAATGGAACTAAACTCTTTATTAGTATATATGTTTAATGCATCGAGCTACCTACTTTCATATTAAATGTTAGTCTTTAGTGATTTGAAATTAAAGAGTCACAGAAAATTTACTG